GCCGACCTTTCACTGCGCTGTCCATCCATCCCTCCTCCTCCTCATCCTTCTCCTCCTCCTCCTCCTCCCCCTCCTCCTCCTCCTCGCCCTCCTCCTCCTCCTCCTCCTCCTCCTCCTCCTCCTCCTCCTCCCCCTCCTCTTCCTCCCCCTCCTCCCCCTCCTCCTCACCCCTTCCTTCTAAGAGCGGGACCTGGGGGATGCGGTGCCGAGAAGTCATCTTGTGCCGCCGTCGGCCCTTTCCGGGCCCCCGGCTGCCCGTCAGGGAGCATGCCCAGGAGGAAGAGCTGGTTGGTCGCGGGGGGTGCGCCGCGGTCCAGGACCCGTGGCTGCCACGAGTCAAGCAGGGGCGAGGCGCCTTGTTTCGCATATAGGGCTACCAAAGCATGTTCTAAGAAACTTCTGCGGTTGCAACGAAATGTTCTTAGAACATTTCTGGCTGGGTCTGTCTTGTCTCAACACATCGGGTTTACGCTCTGAAAACATCGTTCTCGTTCTTAGAACTTTTCTGGGTTGTTAGAACATGTCGTGGCAGGCCTAAAAGAATTTCGGAACGGTCGGTCCCTGCTCAAGGGTGTCGTGTCCATCGTGCCAAAGAGAACTTCCGTGTCGCCGAACCAAATTGCCTCGCGTTGTGACAAAAATCACGGCGGGAGTTTTTCGGCATTTTCGGCCTCGGGGGGCCTTCGCCAGGCCTGGCGCCTGTCCAAAAACGACTCGGGATGTAAAACCGGTCCCGGGGAAATTGACGGGACTTCCAGGATCCCGAATGGAAAACATCAGGACGTCGCATGTTTTGGTCGTGTAAACGAAATTAACTGCCGAGCAGCATTCCTCCCATATTGCGGGTCAGATCCTGGGGCTGGGACTGGTGGCCAGCCAGGGCCGTCTCTTGCCGTTGTGATTTGGACCTCGCAATCCAGCCCACCCCCGTGATGTGACTGGCGATGGCATGTGTTGCAGCCGTGGTTCCTTGCTTGTTCCGTATGCGCAATATCAATACCGCGATCGACTTGGCCCACGACCAATCGCGGTCTCACACCAGCAGACACACGGATAACCTCGGAACGATGATGTCCAGAATTCCACGGGATAAACGCATTTCCCCCGAGAGGGCCGCGGGGCCAAAGGCGGGACAACCACAGCACAACCATGGGACCGCCACGGGATATTCACGGATAGTTTTGGGACAACCGCGGAATAATACATGAGACACCCTGCGGGATAATGACGAGACAACCCAGTGACAACCACGGGATGAGCATAAGGCAACCACGGAACAACGACAGGACAATTTCGGAACAGTCCACGGGACAACCACATGACAACCCCGCGACATTCACAGGGCAAACGCGGGAAACATGTGTCGATTGGCCTCTCTGTCTATACGCAAGCCTCTCTATCAATCCGTCCACAAGTATCACTATTACTCTGTCGGTCTAACTATCTGCCGACTTCAACTACAAAGACACAGGTTTCAAGGTACGCGTTTCGTGCAAGTGTGGTGACAGCCCATTACTCGGCAGCGCGCGTTTCCGCCATCGTTTCAAGCTCTTCATATTTCGAGGTTGTAGCGGCTTCTGGCTCTGCATTTGCCCTTCCGCGCCATGCAAGCGACGCAGGTGCCGCCAGGGTTGCCATTGAAGGACGCCGATGGGGACAGCGTTCGGCCTGCTCTCCATGATCGTTGATGCTTGCTTACTTTCTTCCTGCCCGTTCTCTCGCGTCCCGTCCGTGCAAGTGCCAGCGCACCCGACCCTCACCGGCCTGGCTCCACCCTTCTTTTGCTTCACTGGCCTGCCTCCACCCTCGTTGCCCGTTTGTTCTACCCCCGCCCATGGTGAGTGTTGCGCTGCGGTCAGGGACGCGCCTGCAGGGGTAATGAGGCTCGCGTCTGCTCTGGCTCGCTTTACAGCGTCTCCGTTTATGTTGTGCCTCACGGTACCGAGATTCTTCGAGTCCCCTTCCCGTGGGTCCTCACACCGTCAGGTTTTTCTACTTTTGTCATGCCTTCGCGCCGCCTTCTCTCCTTGGAGCGGCGCGGGTGGTGCAAGGTCAAGGAGGATTGCTGAGGGGACGCGAGCTCATGCAGGGCGTCAGGTACAGTTTGCCCGCGTAGTAAGGATGGCACAGCCAACATTTTGTTGGTGCCATCTTGTCTGATGTCGTGCATTCTCTCCCCACGCCCTGCGGAGGGATCTCCTCCCTTTCTCCACCCTGCACTGGACGGTAAACAAACTCCAAGGTTACCCATTGTTCGTTTCTAACTCTTCGAAAGTTATTTGATCTTCTGGGGGGGGCCAGGTGCTTTCATTCCTAGTTGTTCTATCCTGGGCCTCTTCCTGGCCACTATGGGGCCAGGCACACTTGCAAGCGAGCACAATTAGAAACGAGCACGATCAGACATGAAACGCGTGTAGCCTCGCATCCCTCCCCCTTCGGCCCGTCCTTGGCCGGTCGTCTCGCTGGCCGCGCCTCCACTTCGCAGAGCGAGGGCACTGCGGTCCCAGGCCCTTGCGTCCTTATCTGATGGCCCTGTCACCACCATAAGTTAGATGGGGGAGGAGGACGAGGAGGAGGAGGAGGACGAGGAGGAGGAGGACGAAGAAGGGGAGGAGGAGGAGGAGGAGAAGGAGGAGGAGAAGGAGGAGGAGGAGGAGGAGGAGGACACCCTCCCCCTCTAACTTATGGTGGTGGTGGTGGTGGTGGTGGAAAACAGGACCATCATTATCGTGCGCTCTTATCCTGCGGGTTGACTGCGTGGTTTTGAGAAGTACCCGTCGGTTGTTGAAAGTATGTATTTTGCGGGTTTCTCCGATCTCCCTCTGCTTTCGCCGCCCTCCTGCTTGAAGAGAGTCGGCAAGTTCTTTGCTCCTGCTCCCTCCTCTGCAGGGGGCGGGCGGCAGCCCAGTCTGCTGCCAGCGCCTTCCAATCTCATGTGCTCTACCTGCCTCTTCCGACCGACGCGTGCGCGGCCCCCGACGGCCCGACCCCTCCCCCCTGGGCCAGTGGTCCATGTCGGGATCGCGTCTTGCTGCTCCCGGGGGCCCGGCGAAGAAGGCCCCCCCGGAGGCCGCGCACGACGGCGAATGGTGCCCGAGTGGTTGCGCTGGGAGGTCTGGGTGGGGAAGCGCTCTGGGGGAGGGATCGGGCGCCTCTCCGACAGTTTCTGCCATGCCATCGTGGCCGCAGGTGGCACCTTTTCACATGCACGTGTCGCCCTACCGTGCTGGCTGACTTTTCCTTGATGCATCTCTGGTTCCAAACGCTCCCCTGGAGCAGTGCGAGCGAGACGGCCTTGAGAACTGTGCGCACGCACCAGGCCTGGCCAGGCTCATCCCGGGCCCAGGATCGGTGCGTGTGCCCCCCTCGCCGAGCGGGGAGGGGTCCGCAAAGGCAGCCTTCTAAATATCAACCTGGTGTGCAGTGGGGGCCCATGCCAAGAAACACCCTGCTTGCCTCCAGGGTGCCCCGGGCGTCTTGGGTTTCGATGGTTTGGCTGCGGAAAGGCGGCTTTGAAAGGCGTGATTTTCCCACGCGTAAGATTCATGGACGCCCTGGGGTCTCAGGGCTGGGTTTCTAGTGGGAGGTTTCTTGTGGTTGGTGCATGTGCCTCCCTCGCCGAGCGAGGAGGGCGTTTGCTAGCGCAACGTTCTGCGAATCGACCAGGCGCAAGAGTGACCGTTCGCCGGAGTATAGCCTTCGGGCGGGCCCAAGGGGGCCACCCGGCCGCCGAACATGCGAGGCGGTGGCAGCGGCTTGCGTGCTGGGGTTGGGCCCCTCCGCGCCCCCCCCCGCTCCCTTAGAAGTCGCGCGCCCAAGGTCGCTCTTGCCCCTGTGTCCCTCCTGCGCGTAGCCGAAGGAAGCAGCCTCCTTCATAAGAAGCCTTCCCCCGTCCCCTACCCCCTTTGAGCGCGCCCCTCATGACCCCCTCTTGTCCGCGCCCGCCCTTTCAAGCCGCTCGCGACAGGTCAACTTTTACCATGGGTCCCTCCTGCGTCCAGCCGAAAGAAGCAGCTTCGTTCTAAGAGACCTCCACCCCTTTTCCCTACCCCCCTCGCGTGAGCCGCCAAGAGCGGCCGCCGCCGCCGCGTGAGCCTCGGCGTTGTCGCCATCGTCGCCGCCATCGCCGTCGTGCTCGTCATCGTGCTGGTGTTCCTTCTCTCTGGGCCTCCCGGGTGAGGTCCGAGCAAGCGGGGACGGAGGATTCGGACGGGGCCAGGACGAGGATCTATCTATCTATATATATATATATATATATATATATGTGTGTGTAGATGTATATACCTATATATGTATATATATATACATATATATATATATTCCAGACCGTTCAGGGACGGTTTAAGCAGGCCGCGACGCCCGAGACATCCTCCAGAGCCGCCGGATGTCAGAGATTCTCGATTCCCCCTCCCCGAAGTTATCCTCGCCTTGGCTTCGTCTTATGAACTATGGCGTCGCATCGCCGATGCCTCGACGATGCCGCTCGATTTGGGGACTCTATCTTTCCTGGCGCGCGCCGCCAAATAGGAGGGCGCCGACGAGGGGGAGGACGAGCAAGGGAAGACGAGGAGGAGGGCGAGGAGGGAGAGCGAGGAGGGCGAGGAGGACAAAGACGAGGAGAGGGAAGACGAAGTGGAGGGCAATGAGGGGAGCACGAGGAGAAATGCGAGGAGGGAGAACGGCGACGACGACGACGACGACAGCGACGACGTTGACGATGACGACGACGATGACGACGACGACTACGACGACGACGACGACGAGGACGACAGCGACGACTACGACGACGACGACGACGACGACGACGACAAGGACGACAGCGACGACGACAATGACGGCAGCGACGACTACGACGACGACGACGACGACGACGACGACGACGACGACGACGACGACGACGACGACGACGACGACGGCGGCGGCGGAGGCGGTCGCCCCCTCCCCGGGGCCGCGCCTCGCGCGCGCACGCCCGGAGGGGCGTCGGGGGGGCGCGGGGCCAGGCCCAGCGGCCGCCTGCGCGCTCCCGCGCCGGGGGCCAGCTGCCCGCCCGCTTGCAGGCCCCGAGCGCGGGAGCGCGCGAGGGGGACCACCTCCTCCCGGCCTTCCTCCTCGCCGTCCTCTCTCCTCCTCGCCTTCCTCCTCCTCGCCTTCCTTCCTCCTCGCCCTCCGTAGCCATTTTGGCTCAAGATGTCTGGTTCCCTCGGGGCCAAAACGGATACCGCTAGTCCGCGGCAGCTTTCAGTGACTTTCAGGGGCCATCGAGCCTACCGCCACTGCGGTAGTCGGAACCCTACGGGCAAGCGCACAGCCCAGCAGTTCCAGGCATGGCTCCGTACGGGAAGAAGCAGGGTTACGTGTCTTGTTCTCGTTGCCATTATCAATGGAATTCCCGCTATCATACCAAGTGTTGGCAATGCGGAGGGGGACGACAGCCAGCTGTGGGGTCAGAATACCTACGTCCCAAAGGCGTGTGGGCTCAAGGCTCTGGCGGGCCGAAGCCCCCATGGTGGAAAGAACGCTCCCAGACTCCGAGCCCCTTCGCTCAGGGTCCTCCAGGGAATTGGAATATCGACCAAGGGAACCTCCAGAACGACACCCCCTTTCTCGCCGACGACCGAGCAGTTGTTGCAGCGCTTGGAGCGCAAGCTCCCCCCCAGCACCACCGCGTAGTTCCAGCGGTGGCAGCCGCAGTGCAGAAGCCAGATCCACCCAAGCCAGTACCAGTCCGTCCAGCCCTCGCGCGCGAACAACAGCTTCAGGCAGCAGGAGTCGCAGCCCGGCGAGCACAAGAAGCTCTGGACAAGGCAGTACGGCATGAATCAGAATGTGAGCAGTGGAAGTACGCGCCGAAGCAGATGTTGCAAAGTTGGCGCGTGAGGCCGCCATTGCTGACGCAGCTTACAAGGAACAACTTCAATTGCAGATGGAGGCGACCGCCGCGGTGAACGGTCAGCCCCAATACGTCGAGAAGCCCAAGGCCGCGATCAACCTTTCAGCTCTGTTGGCAGCCACAGAGGAGCCAGCTGTGTCGGAGTTGCTCCATTTCGAAGATGGCGAATCCTTCGGTAGTTCAGATTGTGACTTGGACCCAGCAGAAGTCAAGCAATGGCAATAGTTCAAAGAAGCACTCGCCAAATATATCAAAGATATTATTTCTCGCGCAGTTGGACCTTCGGCTCAAGGATTGCCAGCCCGCAAACAATTCAAGGACCTCAAAAGCAGGATGTCGATCAAGAAGCGCAAGACGGACATGGGCGCAGCTGCGGCAGGGAAGGATTCCAAGGATGCGCAGCAGGACCCTGGCCAGGCTCCAGCTTCTGATCCCGACGCAGCGGATGCCCACTCAGGAGGTGCTTCGAGCTCCTCCAATGGCCAGGGCACGGCTTCGACGGCCTCAGCCGAGGCAACGCAGCCAGTGGAAGAACCACCAGAGGAGCCAATCAAGAAGGTCTTGGAGCGGGCGAGGAACAACAACGCGGAGGCCTTCGAGAGAGCCAAGGCAAGTGCTGGAGATGCGGGTGACCACAAGTCTGCAGTTTAGCACTGTCTGGCTTTACCCGAAGAAGAAGGAAGCGGCCATGGAGCCTCCAGTGAATCGCATAATCAGTTTACACAACCTATCCTTGTGGGGTACGAAGGCCGAGAAGCTTTTTTCCGATCAGGCAGCAGACGTTATCATCATTCCAGAATCTCACGTCCTCGAGGATGGCACGAATGACATTCTTGACTTTTTGGCGTTGAACAAGTATGCTGGAGTTGTTTCCCCCGCCTACAGAACTCGAGACAGAGACAGGACAGGCGGCATTGTTATGGGCATACGCAGGCACAACCACTTTCGGACATTTCGACACCTCGCCGGCAAAAAGGAAGGTACAATTGGTTTGATAGACTTGGCAGACAAGTGGACCCCAGGCCCTCTTTGCTTTCGTGGTGCGGTTGCGCTGGAGTGGAGAACGAAGCATGCATTCATATTGGTCGCGGGCGTATATTTGACAGCGTCCGTGGGAGTCTCCAGCGGCATCAACGTGGAGAAGCTGCTCACGGTCTCGGCTCTTTTGGCGAGGTACACTGGCCAGTGGGCGATCTTCGGCGACTTCGACGCCACGCCCAAGGATATGAGCAGTTGGTCTCAGAAGTGGCCGGCAGATGTATTTTTTCCACCGGGTACTTCGCACGCGTCTACGCGAGGTACAGGCCACATATTGATTGGTTATTGTATTGCCTCCAAAGACTTCCGAGATTTGTACGTTTCATCGCAGCTCATATTTCCCGAAGGTGGAGACCATTATGGGATATCTTTTGGTTTGAAGTTCTCAGCAGAAGCTAACGTGCGCAGAGTTCTGGACCTCCCTCGCCTCTTCCAGCCCCGGCCGCCGAGGCGTCAGGTGGCCGACCCCGACAGCAAGCGCAGTCGGAAGAAGCTGGAGAGTGAGTCCAAGCAGGCCGCGCTGACAAACACAGGTCTTGAGGGGGCGGGAAAGGAGGACGATGATGAATTGATTGTTCCTGAAGGCGAGGATGAGAAAGCTGCGAACTCAGAACCACTCCAGGGCATTCGGGCCCCGTTCCCTGAGGGGGCTCGGAAGTTCTTGATCAAGGAATTTTTCGACTACGATCAGGAAGCTCTGCAGGTTTTGCGGGGCACCGCTGTCGCAGCTCGTATCGAGGAGAAAGTTGAACCTATTGCAGACAGATCAGAATCAACAGATAAATGGGAGTCTACTGATTTGAATCAGTTGTGGGACAGAATCTCGGATAATACGATGGAGAAGAGCGCGTGGTCGTCGCCGCCTTCCTGGATATCCGAGTCGTTGGCTTTCAAGTACCAACCAGCTTCGTCTACAATGCTTGGGGTCAAATACTGGCATCTTGCATCTTGCATGGAACCGTATCTTTTGCAGAATTTTAGACATGCCTGAAACTACAGTTTGGCAGTGCTGCGGCCGAGCTAAACCACGTTCCTTCAAGACAATCGCAGTGGCCTTGCCCAGATCCGCCAGGTCTCATACCGACAGCTCGATTAGATGGCGGTTGCAAGTAGACAGTTGCTTGGGGGAGATGTTGAATATACGACAGCCTCTGAAAAGAACGGACATCATCACGGGTAGAGATCGTACGACACCACACAAGCGAATCGATTTCCTGACCAAACACTTACAGCAAGCAGTTGCAGACATGCGCAACGTTGGCTGGGGTATGGTTCTTTCGGAAGATCGCCCAGCATGGGCGACCAGTCTAGTAAACATTCACAACTTTCACTACGAGGTTTTGGAGATTTTAAAGGACAGCACGCGCAATATTGCACAATTGTTTGGCAGGAAGTCGGCATCCGCCTCGTGCAAAGAGTTTCGAGATTGGATTTCAGAGGGCCTCGAGTCGTCCGTCGGCAGCTTGCATAAGTACGTCAAGCCGAAGGCCAGGACGGGTAACGAGCTGAGGTACAACGACGTGAACGCCACTTCCTTTTGCGAGATGCTTGCAATCAAGCGCGTTCAATGGCAGGAGAAAGTGACCTCCCCGAGATTTTCACAGACGAAGGTTTTTGGCCTTCTACTGGAGGCACATACCCGTGCTCGAGAGGGCCCCCTGCCTCGTCTTACGTCAACCGATGTATCCCTTGCCATCGACAGTGTCAACTCGAAGAAGGCTTCAGTAGTTGAACAGATCGGTGGAGCATTTAAGTATTTGCCGTCTCGAGGAGTGGAGGACCTGGTTCATTTTTTCACTGCTTGTGAGTCCCACGGCACCTGGCCGTGGCAGATTTTGACAGCGCTCTTTGCGTCGTTGCGCAAAGGGCCCACGACGGACAGGTCGATGGGCCTAGTCCCAGACGCCATCCGCTTGTGGAGCGCAGCTCGCAAAGTGTATCCGACAGAGTGGGTGGGCCAGGTAGCAGGTAAATGGGATAAGGGAGTCAGAGGTTTTTCTCGTCTTAGGGTCGGCTTGCTCCGAGCGTTCATGGGCGAGTCAGTGGGCGCAGGCCCTGGCCATGCCATCTCTTCTGCGCTTCTATGGGGCGACGACGCCTTTTACGACTCGCTCGAATTCGACGGACTCTTTGAGCAAGGCCCCGAGAAGCAGTTTCCCCCGCATGTGCTCGTCTTGGAAGGCCCGGTGCATCTGACTTTTAAAATTTTCCTATAGAATCGCAGTTTCTCGGGGCCCGTGCAGCCCACCAAGAGTATCATCGCAGGAGCCCGTCGAGGTCTGGGTTTTGGAAGATTGTATTTGTAATATGTCCTGGAGTTCGTTTGCAATAAATGCTCGCCAGCTGTGGAGGTATCTTCTTGGGCTGACGATATTACCCAGAGTTGCTACGGTTCGATTAAGTTCGTGACCCATGCTTTAGTCCGACTCTGCCATACAGCTCACCTGACCATATCATCCAAGTCAAAGATAGTCTGCAGCAACCCTCGAGTGGCCCGCGAAGTTGCCCGCAAGTTAGCGCAACAGAATATGCGCATTACTGTTGGGCAAAAGGTGGTGGATTTGGGGGTGGGTAGAGGTCGGGATATGAGAGCTAGACCTAAAGCTGCAATGCGTCGTCGGCAAGCGTGGCAACAAGTGGGAGCAGCAGGAATGTTCGCAGCTACGGGTCGTCGTGGTCGTACAGCAGCTCGTCGAGTAGTCCAGCAAGGTAGCTCGGCTAAAGTAAGTTACGATGCGGCCGTCTATGGAGTGCCACCGTCTTCAGTGCAGGCCTGGCGGCGAGCGCTGGGCAAGACTCTTCCCAGCACGTTTAGAGGCCATTGCCTGGACACGTTGCTGCAGATCGAGCTGGGCGACAAGGATCATGCAGCGGCACAGGTTTGGAGATCCTTAGATTCTTGGCTGACTATTACCACATCAGGAGCTCGAGCTCGCGCTCTTGCCCTTCGAGATTGGGGCGCCCATCTCGCTCGAGCTCGATCTCGACCGCAGCGTCATTGGGGGAGAGTTACTGGGCCCACGAGGGCCATCATCAATACTCTCTTGGACCCCAAGTGGGATCCCACGGGGCCGTGGGACTGGACTTCGGACCAAGGGGGGCAGTTTTTGGCGACGGAGGGGATACTGGAATCAAAGGTTTTCGACGTAAGCGATCTCAAGCGGGAGTTCGCCAGTTCTGCCGGGAGGAGGATATGGAGGAAAGCGGCAAACCATCACGAGAGCGAGGACGTAGCAGCAGGAGTATACCTCGAATCTACACGCAGACAGTTGAAGGCTGCTAGAGCAGCCTACCAGTACGCGTGTGCAGGATCTCTGCTCACTGTTTCCACGGGAGGCCAGTGGCCTCGCACCCGCATCAAGCAAGTTTGTCAATTGCCTGATGATTATTCAGAGCTGTGTGACAGATGTGGGGAGGAGAATGAGAATAACTTTCATAAGGTATGGGGATGTAGATGCAACAAGGAGCTGCCCGCGGTCATATCCACCGATTTTCTGCTGCCTCGCGCTTACACACAGCACGAGGCCCAGCCGTCCTTATGGCTGAGAGGCGTCGCGCCTGCTGCTTGGACATCAGTGACCCCTCCACCGCTCGAGGAAGACGCCGAGTTCTACGCGCATGGCGAATTTCCAGTCTCCTCCTGCATCTTGGTTGGAGCGGGCGGCGCGTCTGGCGGGAAGCATGCGTCATCCGATCTTGTTCGGGGAGTTGCTTGGGCCTACATAGTGTTCAGGCAGTTCGGCATCTCCGAGCTGGAGCCACGACTTGAAGTGGCCAGACAAGTTGCAGGAGCAGTCTGGAACGAGCAGACTATAAATCACGGGGAGTTGTTGGCATTCTTGAGATTCCTGGAGGACTCCCCTGTGGGCCCTTACCTGATCTACGTCACAGACAATTCGTATGTTTCCCACGGTTTCCTGAAGGTTAAGCACAGCATGTTCCCAGATACTTACAACAACGAGTGGAAGAGAGCCCGAGCGGCCGTCGATCGACGGTCATTCAGTGTCATGAAGATTGAATCGCATATGTCTGCTGAGAGAGCCGCTCTGAAAGGCACGAACGTTTTTGCGTTTGTTGGTAATTATCTAGCGGACAAGCTCGCAGACGATGTAGTAGGTAGGCATCAGTTATCCCCAGGAGAGGTCGAAGCTGTTGAGCTCGGCCTCGCCCTGTCTAAGAGTATTCGGAACAGAACCACCGACGTTTTCCGAAGTAGGTATGCCGAGCAGTCTCAGGATGTGGGCCCGGGATGCCGCGACGGCCTCGGCCGAAGCCGAAGCCGAGACCCAAGGCCCCTGGTCCCAAGCCGATCCTCGGCCCAAAGATGGCCAAGCTCATGGCTGACAGCAGCCATGAGATGCAGTCCGTTGAAGCAGGTAATAGATTTCAATGCGTTAAGTGTTTGTCGGTGGTCTCGATCAGTTCACACGGGGCAACGCCCTCACAATAATTTCTGAGAGCCCCCCATGTACCCGCCGAGCCCTGGTCTGGACCTGTCCACGGCGTGAAATCTGTGCGCGGGGCGTTCCTCAGGGCCTCTTTCCTGCACCCGTCGCACGAGATGGTGGTCACACAGAGAGGAACCTTCCTGTGCCTGAGTTGCGGGTCCCACGCCACCCGCAGCAGTCAGAACTTGTTAAAGGAGTGCCAGTCGCGCACTCCCTCTGGTCAGAATTTTCTGGACAAGAAATTCATGAAGGGCCTAGTTTGAGGCCCGCGCTCTACCCTCCCACAATGGAAGGCCGCTGGTTTTTGGAATCTGACCACTGGTCATCGGAACGGTCCTTCCTCCTCGCCCTTCCTCCTCCTCGCCCTCCTCTCCCCTCCTCGCCCTTCTCTCCTCGCCCTTCCTCCTCCTCGCCTTCGTTCCTCCTGCCCCATCGCCCTCGTCCTCTCCCTCCTCCTCGCCCTCCTCCTCCTGCTCCGCCCGACAGCAAGAACGCCGCGGCTGTTGCCGCCTCGCATCGCGCCCTGAGGCTCCCTCCGTGCCTCGTCGGCGGCGCTGGGCCGCGCAGGCGCTGATGACAAGAGACGAGCCCTCCCCCAAGCTCGTCGTTTCTGTCGGAGGCGGAGGGCCTGCTGGCCCTGCCAGGGTTGGCCCGCTTTCTGCCTCCCCTGCCTCTGTCTCGGCCTCGCGCCCCGCCCGAATGCCGCAGATCGGACGTCCAGGTGTCGCCCGCGGAAGGTTCGACGACACGGATCGATGGGCTACAGTGCCTCCCTGCGTGGGAGCCGTCGCTGGCTGGTTGGCGCGCGAAGCGCGGTGGCGAAGCGCGGTGGAGCCACGGAGGTCGGCGTGGTGTGCCCGCCTCCCTCCTCCCTTCCTTCGGGTTTTCTTTTTTTCTTTTTTTGGCCTTCTCGTCCACGCCGGCCGAATGGCGCTTGGCGGGCGTTGGGTCTATGGTAATCGATCGTGCGGATCTGCCTCCCTTTCTTTTAGGATTGCCGTTTGTATCGATGCATGTTCGTTCTAAGACTTGTGTGCTGGCTCTCGCCATGCCCGCCAGGAGTTCGGCGCCATGAGTGTCGTTCCGCTCTGGGGGTTTCTGTGTGGGTACCTTGTTCCAGAGGCGGCCCACGCACTCGTGAGTGGTCTACGTGGGTGTTTGTATCTCTCCTTCTCCCCTCTTTCCTGCCCCTTTGGCCACCCTCAGCCCTTCCTCCCTCTCCCCTATGCATCGAAACGCCAGGGGAGTCATTTTCATGGATAGCTCATGGTGTCTGTGTTGTCTCCCAGGCCAGGGTTCTCTGACCGAGTTGGGAAGAGTGGCGACCGAACAACACACACACACACACACACACACACGCACGCACATACAGACACACGCACACACACACCCATAGGAGGGTCGGAGAGAGAAGGACTGGCTATATAGGTATGGGTGCGGGCTGTTGGACCCGGACCCCAGTGGAGGCTCCGGTTCGAGCGAGGACGCCCATCCGACAACACGCGCCCATAGCCCCATCCGTCCCCCCGATGGGTATGGGTGCGTGCTGTTCGTCAAGAGAGGAAAGAGAAAACAGGGGTTACGACATCTGCCGCGTGCAGATGGTTTCGGTTCCGCTGCCAGGCGGTCTCCTCGATGCGTCGTCGCCTCTCTCGCAGGGAGGCGGTGTGACATTTGCTACGTACGTGACTTGGTTCGTCAAGCTCCACTTTATTACCCTGGATGGGACAAGAATCGCCCCCCCCAATGAAACCGCTGGGGGGGTGGGCACGTGCTGTCGGCACGGGTGGAAGGGGGGCTTGGAGGAGGAGGAGGAGGAGGAGGAGGAGGAGGAGGAGGAGGGGGAGGACGAGGGGGTGGGACTGGGCAAGCTCAGTCGGGAGGTGGATTCCCCCCATTGATAGATACCCCACCCAGGGTGCCCGAGTCCCACAGCATGCTGTGCACGATCCACTGCGCGGGGGGGGGGGGCGCTCCCGGCCCCGAGACAGCATGGGGGGCGAGCGTGCGCGGATGGGGGACGGTGGGAGGCCTTGGACGACCAGACCGTGGTGCCACGCGAGGCACGGTCCGCCTCGTCTGTCTCGATTGCCGCCGCCCCCTGTTCTGCGGTGGTGGGGAAGAGGGGGAGGGGGAGGAGGCGGAGAAGGGAGGAGGGAGAAGGAAGAGGAGGAGGAGGAGGAGGAGGAGGTAGGAGGAAGAGGAGAGGAGGAGGAGGAGGCGGTGTACGAGGGAGGAAGGGAGGAGGAGGAGGCGGACGAGGAGGAGGAGGAGGAGGAGGAGGAGGAGGAGGAGGAGGAGGAGGGAGGAGGGGGAGGGAGGAGGAGGGGGAGGAGGAGGAGGAGGAGAAGAGCAACAGGGTAGCGAGCATCTTTCTGAGCGGAGACATCGATTATCCTGTTGAGGCGCGCTGTAGCTGGGTCGCGTTGATCCCACGAACGACAGTTCATCGGACACGTGTTTCTGAACCCTCTATGTCCAGCTATAGAGTAGGTATGAGGTCGAGGTCGGTTCGGCGAGGGCACCTCTCCTTCGTGGTTGTTGGATGTGGGTGCTCTCGATTGTTCTTCAGTTTGGCCGGTGGAGGGTCTCATTTTGCTTGAGCGATGCTTTTCTGTCCCAAGTCTGGTCGTACTCACCGTGTTTCTGAGAACG